AGTTTTAATTTCAGATCTAGATTCAGCATATCAAAATTACTAAAGTTCCTAAAACTTACGTTTTCAAGATCAACCGTTAAGAAATAATTTACAGAAAACCTTACTACTGGGCACCTCTTCAAGAAGGCGTAGCTCCGTAAGGGAGCATTTTTCGATACATGTTCATTTGAAAAATTAATATTATTTTTGAGAGCAGATTTCAGTTTCAGTTTGGCCACCTAATGTCGGGACACCCTGTATATGCAGGCACGTACCGCATTAAGCGCGTACCATTGGTAACTTTGATATTAGTGAGATAAAGTACTAGTTTAAATGGCAGTTGTATTTTTTACGCTGGTTGTGATGATGATACTAAAAACAGTTTATATCGCTTTGCAAGGGTAATAAAAAACATTTATTTTTAAATGGAACTCCCTGTAGATTCGTGCACAAAGTTGAAGTGAATTCATTATAATAACTGCCCTGTAGTTTCAGAATAATATATGCGTTTAGTCCCTTTAATATGGCAATGATAATTTTGAATCAGATAATACCAATCAAGCGTAAACTTACTTTAATCGTTCAGACACCCTGTACATATCATAATGCAACGTTTCTTGCTGGCCCTGTACAATTTCTTATGATTATTTAGCCAACAAGTGTTCAAAGTTCAGGCAAGAAGTTTGGGTCTAGCGTTTTATGCAAAAACGTTCGTCTGTTTTACGCCAAATTCGATTTTGATAGAGGATCCAAAGTGTAGAAAAACGAGAAAATAAATAAGTAAATCGAAAAACGCACCTACCTTTAGCTGCCAATTTTTTTATTCGAACAGTCCATCGCCATAATCGCACAAACCATACAGCAAAACTCCAAAATGTTCTTGAAACGCCTGACCTGCACTTGATTGTCAATCACTTTCAGTCTCGATCGCTACCCGGTATGTGTTTAGCAGCAAAACGCCAGAGTTGCGAATGTAAAAAATCGAAAAAATTCTGCTAAAATTGCACTCCCGATAGTGAAAATACCACAAAATGGTGTCCGGGTAGTTTCGATTTAATAAAATCACCGGTTTTCCGCACTGAAATTAAAAAACTTGGAGTTTCTTTAAATCTTTACGGAGGAAATCGCGCGTTGTCTTGTCTTTCCATCATTGAAGGGCAGGCTGACTTATTCGACAAGATGACATAAGAATCGACGGGCTTTTCGAATATCGCAAATCGCTATCAATGACGAATTGAACATATGTTTATATTACAGTTTTTGCTTGAAATGATCCCATAAATACACTTATTGATTCATATTACCTATACAGGGTGTCCCGTAAGCCGTAAGACACAACTTGTACTTAATAAGAAAAAAATTCTGACCCGATCTGCTATTGATGGTCAAAGTTCTTGAAAAAAAATATATTTTTTGAAATACCGAGAGAATGGTACGATGGATTTTAGTGACTGCTGTTATATGCAGATGTTGAAAAATTTTACAAAGACCCCAAAAATGTTCAAAAAGGATTAGTGCATTAACTCAAAAAAAAAGTTGATTTCAGCTAGCAAATGAAAAGTTTTGGTAGTTTTTATAACAAGACACTCAAGAATTGACCACTCATCAAAATATCCTACATAAGAACAAATTGACAGCTAGTTCAAATAAGATTCATCGTATCATTCTTCTGACTTTTCACCATCAATAGCAGAGGAGCCGCGCATTTTTTCTTAATAAAAGTTAGGTCAGATTGTCTTCTTTTCAGCCAAAGAATCTCTCACTACCCTTTTGATCATGTGCTTACGGGACACCCTGTAAATCTAGGATTACTTACTTAATAACTAAATGTATTGTTCACATTACAACACCAAATGCTGAGATTTGTATATCAATTGCCTCTTCATGATAATTGGAAAGCAATTTACTTATTATTAATATCAAATAATTGCTCAACAAAAAATATTTGCCAAAAAATTTAAAAACCTGTATCTATCGTCGTACCCAATTAAAGGAACCAATAAATACATACATAATGATATATATTTTCAGTTCAAATCGTGCCGATTCACAGTATTCTAAGAACAAAAAACTCGGCCGTTTCTTACCTTGCGCTTAGAATCCTTAAAAATTTAGATTTTAAAGAAATATTAGCTAATCATATTTCATTATTAATAAAACAAGTAACACTTCACCTGATGTTATAATTTGATAATATTATCTACTTATAAATATTTTGTTCTATGTATAATACAATAATTTTTATCAGTTAAGTTAATAAATCACATTAGTTTTCCCAGAATATGCGGCTTTAACATACACCTCTTTTCAGCCAACGTTCAATTTAAAATGTTCTGATAATGCCCACTGTACTGACTCAACAATTCAACTGAATCTCAGTTAATTAAATAGATGCAAGATATACTCAACTAAGACAAAGCTCTGTAGGGAAATCGTAGAATTTTACTCTAATACCACAAATAACGTAGAGCACAGTATGATTCCAGGTTTCGTTTTGATGATATGAATACGCGTTGCTTGGGCAAATGATTTATAACTAAATTTTAAAATTCGTTAAGTGAAACAATATTACCTAACAATTCAATTTCTTTTTAAGCACGCAATTTGTGTTTTCATTTTTGTTCTACATTGCCTTAAAATATCCTCAACCAAGATATCATCGGTTCGATCGATAGGCGGTACATCATCTAAAGCGCTTTTAAAGTATCGAGTAGCTTTATCTGTAAGAAAATCGCCTAAAAATTCATGCAAAGCCATAATATCCACCCTGGCTTGCAAAGCGCCTTCTCTGGAAAATTTCTGGACACACGACATTAGTCTGTACAATTCTTCTGCCACGGTTTCCACAATCTGTGGCAATACGGCATCTAAAAGAGTGGGTGAAATATGGACAATTTCAAAGTGAACGCCTATCAGATTGTTCAGGCATTCTTTGACATACGGACGAAGATCGGTTGGTTGTACAGGTAAATGCCAATCAAATCGGCCCAAGTACATCGATGGTTCAATCGTTCCTACTAAAGGATCGCATTTTTGTTCAAGATAGTTATACAAAATAATTGTTTCCCGTTGTTCGTATTTAACTCTGGCAGCGGTTAAAGAAGCATCTAAAGGTGGTAAGCCGCTTTCGTTAAATTTCGACGCTATTGTGTCTAAGATCGTGGTTTTAGTAAATATACAGTTTGACAAAGTAATCAGAAGCCCATGGTCCCATGTTGGTGTGTTCATTTGATTGTCACCATTTGGAGGAAGCATATACAGTATTAACTCAGACACTAAGGGAATGCCCGATTGGAAACCTTCATATTCGTCACTTGAATAATAAACTATCAATCTGTGAAAAGTGTTCAATATAACGGTCATTTGTTTTTCCATTTCCTTCTGCGCTGCTTGATTGTCCAATAAGCTAATTTCTCTGTGCTCAATAGACAAAACTGACTCCTTGACAGTTTGAATCATGTTTTCAATTAAATTCAAAAATTTGATAGGCATTTCTGTAACGCCCGTGTATTTACCACTATAGTTTATCTTCCAATTCTCTTTTAATAATTTCACTTGCTCCGCGGTTTGTTGGAATATAATACTAATGCAATGAACTCTCAGGTCCAAAAGCAACAGACTGACTATATCTAGGGCTTCGCCAGGTAGATCAAGTTTGATAAAAGTGGAGTATGCAGATCGTACTGAGTGCAAAAGTTCTGGTAAATATATAGCGAACTCTTCGCGACGTGGCAATGTTAGAGAACCGAATTGGGCTTTATCATCTTTATCTAAGCTATTTGGAATTAAGTTTGCTCTTACATGTTTACAAAAGGTCTCGATAACATTCATGACTATATATTTATACTCCACTTGTCTTCCGGCCTCCACTTTAACCTGAAGCTCACCAGAAAAGTAAGCTTGACCAATCTTCCACAGATCCGGAAATGTTTCCGTTATGCTTAGACATATTTCATCAATAAAGCTGATACATGATGGAATCATTGCCACTTCAGTATTAGGAGTGCTGTTATATTTGGAATACTTTGAGGCACTACCACTTTTCGATTTAGATTCCGGCTTATCTTGCGATTTGTGATAGTTGTAAATCAACCCGATTTTTTTGTTTATGTATTCAGAACGTGCCTTGATGGCATCCCATGCGGAATCATAGGGAGCATCCAAATTTACAAGGTACCTAAAAACACATCTGTGTAATAACTTCCATTGTTGACGTGTATGGTACGTACCTAATTAATCTTTTCTGTTGTTCTACTGTAATAGGCATGGTTTGCAAATCTTCATGCAACTTAGTTTGTAGTTCATTTATACGTTTTTCGATTTCATTTAACGCTGTTTTGAAGATAGGAATATCCGTTTTATGGAACAAGTTCTTCACTCTGATATAATCGTTGATTACTATGTCGAAATCGCCCTTCTTTACGTTTCTGTCGATAACACATGGCAAGCAGAATAGAAAACGAAATCTGAAAATTCACATTTACCCAATGACTTGGAGCTTTGCACATATTGGGGCATTACCTCGTTAAAACGTTTAAAGCATTTCTGGTTTTTTCAGCTCGATCTTTCCGATTTAGAACGTCATCAAACAATTTTCTTGCCTCATGTTCCGATTCCTTGATGGCTTTTTCCAGTTTCAAAGTGGGTTCATGACCAAATTTGGGCGAATCAGTTTCATATTTATCTTTAAGATTTACCAATGTATCTATTTGATCCATCACAGCACCGATGTTGGCTTTTAAAAAGGACAATTGTCCCTCTTTCTGCCCTTTCACTTTGCGTCGTAAATGTACAAGCCCTGGAAATATGTTTCTATAGTGTCCAATCAAATGTCCACGACTAACTTATCTCAAGGTTCTATACAGAAAATATGATCTTTAGCAATACCTGCTTGTAAGTCATTAAAACTGGTGGCTTGATGATTTTCCAACAGAAACCAGCCTGGTGAAAAGTCATCACTAGTAATATCACCATTTCTATTGGGGTAGAATTGCAATAAATCATCTTCGGAAATTTTTTTCTCCGTATCCTCAACTGAGAGTCCCAGGGGATCTTCCTGCTGATAACTACTCGGAGATAAAGAATGTCTACCCCATGAGAAGAGTTCAGTTTCCTCTACCTGGGAATTGATGCATATTATCACTATACAGAGCATTACGAAAAGATAGGCTTGTCGGTTAACTACATGTTTCTTGAACAAACTGAATATGACTTCAAAAAAGTTAAAGGCACAGTCTTCGACCGGGAGTCAATGTTGAAATATTTTTTTGTTTATTTCGAATAGCTTTTTAACTAGTTTATTGTCACAGAATTTCTAGTAGAGAAATTTAAATTTCCTATCAGCTTGATTGTGCTCCAAGACGCAGTACTTTCAATCCGTTTGACGCAATAGAACATTTTGTGTTTTCAATTACCTATTCATTTTTTGGGTCACGTCTTATTCTTGGATATTTTCTCCACATAATCGTGGGACTTGACCCGAGTAGTTCCTTGTTTAGACATCAGAAAAAAAGTGACCCAAAAAAATTCCGCATTTTAACGCATCAACAAATTATATTCTTGCAAAAAGAGAGTAAGTTTGAATCCTTGAACTACAAATCTCTTGACTATAAACTATAAAACATATAAAAAATATAAATAAAATATAACTATAAAAATCTTAGGTATATGGATCGTGTTAATAGTTTTGTACATACCCACACAGCACTCTCTTTCATAGGCCCAATTGTGGCAATATGATATCCTTTAAATGTAACACTACATGTTCCAGCACCACCAGATTTGGTAGTGACTATCACATCCCCTTAAACACATTTTGCCCATTTTTATCACGCCAAAACCCTATTTTGCTGGTGCCTCAAACAACTATGTTGGTGTACAGGGGAATTAAATACATAACTTACCTTTTCCTTTGATCGGTCCAGATATGGCAATAATTTTATTCTCTGACTTCCACTCTGCGGTGAGAAGAGAATCCACGCCGCATATCGTGAGCCCCACTAAATCCTGGGGCGATTTTCCCAAATGTTCACCTCTGATTTTGATTCGAGTCCCAGGAGGGCCCTCATTTGGTGATAGACCAGTAACTATTGGTGGGGGCCCCATTTTTTAACTTCACAATAACACACACTGTGCAGTGATTTTATTTATAAGTACATATTATGAAAAAAAGTAAACTAATTTGTGCAATACAATGTAAATATGAAAATAACCAATGAACGAATGAACAGTTGCTTGAAAGTTGAAAGATGACATGGGAATGTGTGTGAAGTTAGAAAGTAAGAAGAAGCTAACCCACTGTATGAAGCACATTGTTGTTATGCTCAATATGACGTAATTAGAGCGTCCTCTCTGCCAGGAAAAATTATACATTATTATATAAATTTTAAAAATATATACAGGATATTTCATAATGATGTGACAATATTTAGCAGTTTGACTAGAGCTGTTTTTGAAATGTTGCAAAAATATTGTCTGTCCTTTCAAAAACTGTTAAACTCAAATAGCTAGAGTTTGGAACATGAAAATAATTGAAAATTACAACAAAATATGGAAGTCATCGATTCACCGTAAAAAGCAGGTTTAAAAACTTTTTCAAAAATAGGACTTTTGTTTAAATCGAAAAATTATTAAGAAAAAAACGGGCGTTTTTAATAAATAAAATACATAAATGGTTATTATTAAACTGATAAATTCAGAACTGATGATTTTCTAAAAAGTTTAACAGTTTTTACTCATTAAATTAATTTTCAGTCTAGTTTTGTAGAGAAATTAATTTACTTTCATCATCTAGACTGTTATTAATGTTAAATAAACTATAGAAGTTCATACGATAGCTCATTTTTTTATAAAAAAATTTACATATCGGGTGCATAATTAAATATACATGATTTTGCAATAAAAATGTTAATACGCTAAATAACCCGTAAAACATAATACTTTGTAAGCATTTTGAAAATCTGATTGGTTTTAAGATTCAAGTGTGAATTCGGAAAAGTTTATTTGCAAGGAGTCATTCTGGTGGGATGGACTTGAAATAATTCCTCCTCGGCCAAAATTAGGATTGCTGAGTACTTTTGCGAATCGAGGTGCAAATTGTGATGAGGAATCTATAATTTCTGATGAAAGTACGACGGAAGAGAATACTGAAGAAGAAACGATTTCTTCTAGTTCACTAGAAAGTGATGAAGGAAGTGCGGAAAGCAATCCTCCTCCAAAACAAGTATATCATTGACTGACTTAAATTTTCAGCTGATTATTAGAGTATGTCTCTAATTCTAGACGCTGGTAAAAAAACCGAAGAAAAATAGTGCCGGAAAACTTCTCTGGCAACACAATTTATCGGCGAGAAGTAATCAAGACATTCAACGGGCTTACGAAGAAAGCCTCCTGAAGGATATAGGAGCCATTTTAAGCAGGAAGACTTTAAATGATACCACAAATAAACCGGGTACTAGAACTGTGGGGAGAAACTCAATCCCCTTAGGTAAAGAGCTCGCTTAAGCAAAAAATAAAAAAATGTAATTTGTTTTCTTCAGGGGGTCTTTGGATGAGGCTGGAATCCGAATGGCGCGAGTCATTAAATCAACGAGAAACTCAACCGAAAGCAAAAAATTTCGCTACATCTAAGACGAATAAACCTCGGTCCAGATTTTGAGAGACAATTTTAATTTAATCAATTATATTTGAAATAAATTAGCTAGTGCACACATGTTTTAATTCGTTTGATTTGAAAAATATGAGAGCTGTTGCTGTTTGCAGCCCTTATCATTATATTTAATTACACACTAGTCTAATGATAATTCAACAATTTTCCCATACTAACACTTGTTTGTTTATACCGGTCCATATCTTATCATTTAATGAAATTGAATGTACTTTGAAAAACTTGTATCGTTGAGACTTATTAACCTTTAACTTACATACCGTGTTTTTTGTTAGTTAAAATAAATTGTACTGTGAGTATATTCTGTGCTGTTGCTACGGTTGTGGTCAGTTTAACTATAAATTTTAAATATGTTGGATGAACGACCTTGTGCGATGTTTTTGGAGATATGTGTTTGATGCATAATGAAATATGAATTACAATTTAAAGGAATTACAATATATTAACAACAAAATGCCGTTGAATGATCGTTTGTTGTACAACACCTTCTTCATTAAGGATTATTCTGGTAAAAACTTGCGTAAACCTAAGCAGCATGTTATTTTTAAAGCAGGTAAGATCATAATTCTGTTAATGTATTTATCCCAAATAAATGCTAAAAATGTGATATTAACCCATGAATATCGCAAATATTTATCGAATTATATCAAAATATTTCTGTTTTAATTTTTAAAGCTCGAGTACTTACGAGAGGAAACGGATTTTTTGTGTTTTTTCTGTATTTAATACTGTAATAACGGCTTTACCAATATCCTTTATAAACCAAATGGAGCTGCCTGTTGATTTATTTCATAACTAAAATTTCAGATAAACTTTTTACACCACGTTTTGCTACTTATATCTACAGTGTGTCATTTTTTGGGTTTACCATTATAAATCCTATATTTTTTCGGATATTTAGTTCAAGTCTGGAACATTTTTTACATATGAAATTTAATTTCACAAATCGGAAAATATTTCGGTTTAACATCAAACCTTTTTTACTTTGTCTAGTGTAATTTGCTTTTAGTTAAAGTTAATTTTCAGTATTGTTTATAGTTATCGTATATTCATTTTCAGCGCTGTAGCTTTGCTGTAAACTTTCTCATCTTTATTATTTTACTTACTGGCCAGTTCGCGTTTGGATTTCTATTTTTTTGTAAAAAAATGTTCAAAAGCAATTTAAACTTAAAGTTCCAAACGTTGCGTTGTCGTTGAACTACACAAAAAATAAATAGAAACTTTGAAGTTTTATGGTCCTTTAGATCTGAAAGCATGCATTGGCCGACTCACACTATCTGAATTTTTAGTCATAAAATTATCCTCCGCATATACAGGGCGTCTCAGCGACGGAATAAAGTAAGTTTGCGCTTAAACGGTATTATGTCTTTCAAAACTGTAATTCTCATATTGTAAAGGAAACGTTACTTTGCTACTAATTACTAAACATATTGATCATTATACAGGGTGCGTCATACAAGGCGCAAAAAAGTTACTTGTTCTAATAGCACCCCCTATATTTCATTTATTTTTGAATTGCTTTATACATTTAAATTACTTTTTATTACTTAAACGAAAATTGAGGAAAAATTGGTTAGTTTTTTTAGTTATATTCGGCTTAAATGATGAATATTGGTATTTTCATGGTGCTGGTGAAAAAAGCCAAGAAATCGCTAATTTCGAATTTACCGTCTGAGAATTTTTGTCATATTTTTTCGGAAAACGCTTTAAAAAAAGTATCATAAAACATCATAAAAATCTTCAATAACTGCATAATTCAATACATTTTTTCCGTAACAATTTCTTCCCTATCAATGTGATAGGATCACGTGGATACATTTAAGTGCGTAAATCAATAGGTTTTAACTCCCTTAATATTTATTTTGTTTTTTTTTTGCTTAGAACTGCTACGAACATGCACAACGACGCCGACTGAAATGTTTGGTTCGTTTCATATTATTGTATTGCAGTTAATGTATAACATTGTCAAGTGGCAAGAAAAGAGACATATTTTTTTGCACAAAAGCTATGAATGTTACGAGATTGTACAAAGAGCAAGAAATTGTGAATATATTATTAGTGCATCAACCAAAAAAAAATGATTGCATCCACCAAATAAAAAGGTCTGGTAGTTTTTGTACCACGACACTTAAGAACTGGATTGTTTCATCAAAATATGAGTCTAACATAAGAACAAATTCACAGGTAGTTTTACCAAAATACATCGTACCGTTCTCCCGATATTTCCAAAAAAGATAAATTTTTTGAAGAACTTTGACCATCAATAGCAGAGGAGCCAGATTCTTTTTGTTAACAAAAGTTAGGTCAGATCGTCTTCTTTCGATCCAAAGAATATCGCAGTATCCTTTTGATCATGTGCTTACGCGACACCCTGTATACAGGGTGTTTGGTAAGTAGATGCATTCCTTTTAGGAGGTGCTAGTGCACGTAATTTTGGATATATTTCGTTAGCAGACCATGTTCCGAAAACTCTTAATTTTCAATCTACAGCGTGTTAAAGTATTAATTAAAAAATTATATTGTTTATTATTGCGGAAACCTCTTGGAATATTTTACTGAAATTGTGCAGACTTAGGAACTTAACAGCAATATATGTTTTGTAATAAAAATATTGTTTTTAGCTTCGCCAGTGGCGTGAGCACAGGGACGTCTGCAGATAATTTTAAATAAAAGAATGTTACGCCACTGATTATTCTAAAAATAAATATTTTTTTCAAGTTCCTGTTCAATTAGGAAGATAAGTGGTCTATTGACTTTTTGTTTCTACAACGCACCGTGTTTGAGTAAAAAATTAAAATCGATTTATTGCCCAGCGTAATCGGGCTTTTATTTAAAAAGTTGGCGCTGCACTAGTTATGGTCCCTGATAGAAAAAATGTAATAATTGCTGTAATTTAGAGTGTCTGAGTGACTTCTTTTTGCGTTTTTTTTTGTAATAAAACTGATACAATCTAAGTGCACAATTTTTGTTTTTATACTAAACCCTGCTTAATTACAACCCGATTAAGCTATGCAATAAATCGATTTTTTTGCCAGCCGGCCAAGAGACCATTTCTCTTACAAATTGAACAGGAATTTGAATCATTAGGTTTATAGCTTAAAAATCAGTGGAGTAATATTTTTTTTATTTATAATTATCTACAGTCGTGCCTGTGCCCCTGCCAGTGGCAAAGCTAGAAACAACATTTTTATCACAAACATATATTGCTGTTAAGTATATTAACGAAACATATCCAAAATCACTTGCACTACCACCCCCTGCAAGAAATGCATCTACTTACCAAACACCCTCTATATTATAACAGCGGACTGTTTGGCGTAAATAAAGATGCACACTATGTATGTATATATATTATTGTAATAAGCTTTAATTTGAAATTTGAGATAAATATCGCATAAGCGCTAAAAAATGTTGAGATAAAACTAAAAAAAAATTTTAACTTTGGACACCTTTGATCTTGTAAATAAAGCCATTGCAAACTTAGGTCCATATGAACTTTTTGCATTATTTTTATCGAGGAATTATTATATGTACATTATGTATAAATTAGAACTTAGTCTACATTATGTGTAAATTATGCAAGTCACAGTCGAATTACCCTGCAAATAATTTAAATTGCGATATATTACTTAAAAAAAAAACATTTAATAAATAAACAAAAGTCAACGGTTTATTATGAAGGGTGATTCATGACTCAACTGAACGAACTTTTATACTAAAGTTCTACAATAAAATGTACGAATTATGGAAAATTAATGAACTAAAAGAACCAAATTTAAGTCCCAAAATTATTGTAAGGGAAATAAAGCCTGTTAAAGATTTAAGCAAATAATTTAATATTAATATGTCTTGAACGAGTGAATATAATTTAATAATTAGATTAATTCAAGGGGTCTGTTTTTTTTTTATATATAAACGATAATTTCAGCTTTACCAAACTTTATCATTTGCAGGCATTTGTAGAGAAAAATTGAACCGTCCAATTTTTCGCCCCATAGAAATGTTTTAAGATTATTGAACGTATCACTGTCATTATATTTTTTAAAAGATTTTCATTCAAAAGTAACCAACATGCTTTTTTAATTAATTACGTAGGTTTATCGACAACTATTGATCATAATTTAAAGCTTACTTACAATTTGTAAATTCCAACTTTGTTGCTAGTTCAGTCTCAAAGTCGTTCTATTGGTCTATTTTTCTGCGCTCGCCGACCACAAGCGAAACGCGATTTTTTTAAATAGTGCAAATTTTATGCAAAATATGCAACTTATACACACACCATACCGTGAAACCAGCACTTGAATTTTCAACACTCATTGTATATGCCTACAAAAGTACGCTTTTGAAAAATTAAAAACGTCAAAACGTGACAATTTCAATAATGACATTGACATCAATATTTTTATTTATTACAACTTATGACTCGTGTTATGTCTTTAATTCGAATAAAAAATATTGTTCGATACGAGGGCGAAAATCCGTTTTTCGAACTCTTGACGGATTGACAACCTCGACTTCGTCTCGGGTCTCAAACGCCGTCGTCGTTCGAAAAACAACACTTTTCGCCCTTGTATCGAAAAATACAATTATTTAAAAGTGTTGTGGTTGTCGCCAAAGTATTTCTTTCTGTTACTTTAAAGTATACAGAGTGGCTCAAAATAAAGTTCAGTCAAGTTTATTTTTTTAATAGAATAGCCTGCTTCTTAATGCAGATTCAGGTTGTATTAACATTGAACTCGAAGTATTTTTTGTATAACATACTATGTCAGAAAATTCAATCGTTTTGGACATAACGGCATTGAAACATCGGAACGCAAGAAGTTTTTGCTGCAAGTTTGTGGACTATCCAACTTTGCCTAAAGCTTTGCCCACATTAATTATTAAATGACTTTCTACTTTTGGCTTTATTTGCTATATTGCTCCCACTGTGCGATTCCATTCCGTGTGATGATTCATCCGAATCATATGTTTCTGACAGTTCAAAAGGGGTTCATGGCTGTAACAAGGGGATCTCCTGATGATGATGGATATAAGCATTTTACAGAGGATATTAACAATGTTACCTACGGATCTGCAATCACGAGTAAGTCCCAATTGCCAAGTCATAAACAGGATTATGATAACGCTTATCATTGCTTTATTAATAAACATGAGAAGTGGGTTCTCTTGATTTAACATGTTACATACCTCGAATAGATCTGTACCTATTTTAATAATTATTAACCAGCTTCTTAGTAAGTCTTGTTTAATAAATGAGCAACAGGAACAGGTGACATAGGAGGATATCTAGATTTGAGTGCTTGTTGTGCGACAAACTTTCCATTCAAATGATTATGAGTAGGTGTTGTTGCATTCGGTAATGTTTCTCTAATGAGCGGATTTCAGTTCAGTTCAGATATATTCTCAATAACCGAGATTTGTATGTTAATGAGAATGTGGAAATTCTTTTACTATACTGTACATTTCAGACCCCATTGATGAAATGGGCAGCAGGTCAAGCCTATCCAGAGATGTGGATAGCACAGACATTGACCATTGGGAGATGAATTATCACGAGGCTGCTATATTTTTAGAGGTAGGATGCAACATGCCAAGCAATAAAAATCACGGGACACAACTTGAGAGAGCTTAGAATATAGACAAAATAGTTTGAGAAAATAATCTTCACCAAATAAATGAGATAACTGCATTGCAAAAAAACCAAATTGAAATTATCAACATGAAACACTGACTTAATAATTCCCCATAATAATTCAATAAAATTTAATTTGCTCCAATTCAATTTAATAACTTTGTTTACAAACGTACTTCTCTATAATTGTTCATTTATTAGACAATTCATTCTTCAACTGTTTGAATCTAGGAAGGTGAAAACAATGAAAAATTTGATTCACATCCAAGACACCCATCAGCACTTCCAGCATACCTTCTGGTACATAATAAATTGTATTATGGACTAGACTTATTTTTTTCCATGACATTGCTGGCACTTGCCTTGGTCGAAAATCCGGCTGTTGACCGGTTTGAATTACCAGCTATAATTCACAGCACTTTGGAATTGATTTGTCTAGGTAAGAGCCTGTTATATCAGGGAATTTTTCATATGTACGGTGTTACAATGGGTGATTATAAAGATACAAGTAATATTTAAATGAATAATACATACAAATGTTGATTTTAGTTGTTTGTTTATTAAATTGCGGCACTGCGTGATGAAATTTTACACTGGTCTAAACTGCTCAACAAAATCAACGTTGCACTAACAGATTTGCACCATCTTTGGAACTGGATAAATTTCTTACGATTCTATTTTCTCTTTGAAGCGTAAATAACTGCAATTATTTTTCGGTTAGTGCGTGTTTTGGCAGAAAATGAGTGCTTCAGATAAATTTTGTACAGAGTGGCGAATGGTGGTAAACGTTTCACATGCTCTGTTGTACAAAAAAAGTTTTTTTTGTACTTCAATACCACAGAGATTAAGATACATCTCGTATTTCGAAAAAAGTTTTTGAATTCTCCGCTCATCTCGTTTATTTACATAGTTGTCTAAAAAAATCCACTTTTTGGTATTCTAGTGATAGTTTTTTCTTTTGAACCGATTAGCAAAATCGTGTCGCTCATGTCGGCGCTAAAAATGTACATCAGACTTCAGAGGAAATCGCAATATACTGGGTTGCATATTAAATTCAAACAAATATTTCAAAATTATTCTCGTAACAAACATGAATGAACGAAATATTTGAAAGTGAAACTTCAACGAGTTAAAAATCTTCCAGAATTACAGATTTTGGCGGCAATTCTGATTTGGGTCCTTTTTGAGGCACTATCGAATCTTCAAATTAAATTGTCTATGAAGTTTTAGCTTCCATATGAGTTCAAGATCGTGAAAATCGGACCAAGAGCAGACCCAACCAAAAAGTTGATTTTTTGAGATCACCCTGTAAATATRCCTAAAAATACAATTGAAAAATTGTTTCAAGCTATTTCGTTTATTTGTGTGTTAAGATCCAACAAAACTTTTTTTTGCCCAATTAGGAGCATGCTGAACTTTCCGAAATTTTAYATTTTTTTATTTGCCACCCTGTAGAAAATTAATTTGAGATGCTTAATTTTCACGCAAACATTGACTAACATAAAACAAATGGGGCTAAATAACAGAAATAAAATTGCTTAAAGCTATCAGAATTTATCCAGCTTSAAAGTTAAGCGTAATCATAAGCSTKTCTGTYTATTAAAACAGGAAGAAGTCCCTAATATAAGWTCAAAGCACATATTGCGGGGRTGGATTWTATTAATAAAGACAACAAAAGCAGTTTACCCATCTCTTTTATTGCGATACTTTACATATCTAAATATCTGTTTTATATGCATGTAATGGAAAATATGCTTAATATGCACAGTTTTTAGCAGCTTTTGAAAAGAACAAAAAAAAACAATTCGTTGTGTTTAAAGTTTTACAAAAGCTAAATGTGTCTTTGACCGCAACTAAATTATTTTTTTTTAAATTGTATCTAACTTAATTATGAAATGCAGATGTGATTTATGCCCGTACTCAAACGTCCCGAGTATTTAGTTAATTATTTTCATTGTCCAGGCGTTATTGGAGTAGAATTGGCACTGAAACTGCGATGGATAGGATGGTCAACAATACTAAATCATAAACGAACAATGATTAAGGTATTACTTTTAATCTTTGTTTTGTTGTTTGAAAACCTTTATATTTACTTTTATCTTGTTGTATCTGTATCTCTTGTTTATTTGTGAATTTTTAGTGTATAACATTATTCATAATGGTAATTGAAGCTGTAGCTGTACTCGTGAGACAGTCGTCACATTTTCGAGTTACCAGAGGACTGAGGCCTCTTTTCCTAGTTGATACTAGAGCATGTGGAGCGGTTCGAAGATATATCAGACAAATTTTACAATCATTGCCTCCCATTCTTGATATGCTGGTATTACTATTGTTTTTCGTTTGCAGCTATTCTCTTTTAGGTAGGTCTATCGGGACCCTTAAATATAAATCAATTATCTATGACCCTTTTTGTGTCTTTCAGGATACTTCCTATTTAGTGCCCACGAAAACTTCTATTTTAAGACATTGCCAGACAGCTTTATAAGTATGTTCGTTCTTCTTACAACAGCAAAGTACGTATCAGAGCAGACGATTGGAATTATTTACTAGTTGTAATTTATCTGAACATTGTCATTACAGTTTTCCGGATGTAATGATGCCTTCGTACAACAAAACAAAGTGGAGCGCGGTTTTCTTTATTTCATACATATCAACTGTTTTATATGTGCTGATGAATTTGGTAAATATTTTCTTCCGACCAAAATGCACTATGATTGCCAATAAAGTTACTAGAATGTAAATTGCTTGTAGATGTTGGCTGTAGTCTACGAAACATTTACGGGAATAGAAAAGGATAAATTCAGAAAGTTGCTACTGCACAAAAGGCAAGCCTGTAAGTTGGCGTTTCGACTGCTGGTTAGCAGACAGAATCCAAATACTATTAGATTCAAGCAGTTCCAAGGACTAATGCGATATTTCTCTCCAAAAACTTGTATGTAAGATTAAACTGATTGGTAGCTGGTCTAATTCGTTCATATTCAGGCCAGAGGGATGTAATTCTCATATACCGTCAATTGAATAGTTCAGGAACTGGTTTATTGACTCAAGATGAGTTTCTGAACATTTACGATGCAATCAGTTTGAGGTGGCGCCACAAAGACCCTCCTGATCCTTGGTTTACTGCAGCTTGGCCTCCTTTGAGGACATTCTGCAGAAATGCAAGAGTGTTAGTCTCTTTGCCGTACTTTGAGTATATTGTTTGTAAGTGGTTACGACAGTTAAATGGTGTTATTTTGATATTTTATATTTTTTCAGACGTTTTGATAATTGGCAATGGTTTGGCCATGTTTATCAGAGTGATGGAATCGTCAGTAGATCTTGAAGATGGCGCGAGGCATTTTTGTGCGTCGTGGGATGCATGGGTGTTTTATATGCGTGAGTTTATTTCGTTACCGCATAACAATAGCAAATAAATATAACGAAATGCGCTTGCAGTGTTCTTGATCGAAGCATTAATCAGAATAATCAGCTTCGGTTGGATTGACTACATTTCATCTGGATGGAATACTTATGATCTGTCAGTAACTTTGTTAGCTATATGGGGATCAGTTTTGCTACTGATGTCCCCTGGATTCACTTTTGTTGTCATTTTACGGCCTTTAAGGTAATTTTGCCGATATATCTTTAGTTGAGTGAAACATGCAAATTATCTGTTATAGAATCTTGCGGTTGTTTAAACTGAAGAAGCGCTATAGAGACATATTTGGTACGTTAGTTTTACTGTCACCTCTCATGTGGTCTACAGCTGTGGTTATGATGGTGATGTACTATTTCTTTGCCATTGTTGGGATGGAACTTTTTGCTGGTTATACTTTGGAAAATTGTTGCTTGTTAGTAACCAGAAAGCCGAGCTGAGAGAGTGGTCTGAAACATTTAATTTTGAATTTCAGGAATTCTACTGTAGAGCCTTTTTACAAATTCTACTCCAACTCAAGTAACTCTGGAATTGCATACTATTACCTTAATAATTTTTCAAATCTCCTGACATCAGGAGTGACCTTGTTTGAACTAACAGTGGTTAATAATTGGTTTATTATTATGGATGCCTATGCTTTTGTTTCCGGTCAACCCTACTTACGGTAAAGATGATGCCATACTTTAGCAATTTTTCCTGGAATATTGCCTTGTTTTAGACTGTTTTTCATGATATTCTATTTATTCACAATGGTTGTATTGACCATTGTGGTGGCTTCAGTCTTAGAAGCTTTCCGATTTAGGATACAGTATAAACAGCAAACATCAAAGAAAGATGGTAAGAACACATTGTGCTAATTGTCACCCTCCCTAACATTTTTTTCCTACTATAATCTATATTGCGATTATTTTTATATTATCAGAGGAACTGATGCTTCACGAAGAAGTTATAATAGATTGGAATTCCCTACAACAGCAAATACACGATCCAAAATTACTTGAGTCATTGCAAATGGACTTTGTTTACGGGGTAAGCATGGTGCGCCCATAAAGCGCGAAGGTTTTTTACTTAAAATATTTTAACATGGCAGGGTGTGACTTCATATATTGGGCGTCGTGCTCGAACCAGAGATGTTTTGCAACGTCACATGTACATTACAGAAATCACACAGTGGCTTCAAGAAGCAGAGAATGAAGAAAGACAAGATATTAATAGTATTATAGAAGAAGCGCATATTAATGCCAGGTTAATAACTGCTTAATTACTTCCAAACAACCCGACTAATTTTGCATGTATTAGCTACCTACTATTGTTGCATTTTTAAGTTTTACTATGGAATTTAACATAGTTGAATGGGTTTTAATATTACATTGCTGTATAATCATATTTACTCACTCAACTAGACACAGTACCTATTTTTAACATTGAAGTTATACTACTTTCGTTACTACGTTTTCTGTTATATTCCAGTATAGTTTAGATCATGTCTGGTAGATGTCATATTTCATTTTGGATCATGACTCCAAAATGTTTTGAGTGGTTCACTTTGAAAGCAAATACCGGGCCCAAAGATGAAATATAAACGTAGTGAAAATATATCCTAGTCACCGAATAGTTCTAAACGACTTAAGCCCTTGAGATTTCTCGAGAAAACGAAATCAAGAACAAATTTGATATCTAGTGTGCAATTTAGCCAGTAAATATGATAATATACCGTTAGAACTATTAGGACCAAATCAGTGTTAGTTTAAAATATATTTTTAGGAAAATTGAAAGTGGAAATACTCATAAGACAAACTAACAGTTGCCTTACAATTTAGACACGAACACCTAGTTAGCGTGTTGAGTAGTTTACGCAAGCAACTAAGTCTTCCTTGCTTCTCATGTTTCTAAGTCATTATTAGATGGTATTTAACGCTTAAGCTTAATCCTATTCAAATTTACATTTTTTTAAATCCGGCTAGAACAAACAATTAGTTGACGAAAAACTTATGAATTCTGCGCATGTTATAATACGCTATAGTTTATTTAAAATAGGTCTCACTTTTATTCAATCATTCTGTGTCTGATTTACCAGTATTAATAATTTATTTCTCATTATTTTGTTTTTATATAATAATATAAATTATGTAAGTACCAACAATAAATATTAAATTGTGTTAAAGTATAATTTAATGGCCGCCGATGTGAATTACTCTGAAAAAAATCGGTCATTTACCCCAATTGCCCACATTACAGCATTTAATGCCGCAGAAGAATGTTGATTTTATTTCAAACATTAAAAGAACAAGGGATCAATATTTTATGGTTGAAATAAAATAGTAATGAGTTGCAGTTTTTTAATGAAATTTCAGAGCATACAAAAAGCACTACATGTTTATTTTCCAAATTTGTACATATTTATTTAATCAGTAGCAGTACATAATTTACAGATGTCTGCTAATTTATACATTTATTTAGCTTAGGACATGTATAGTATGTACACACATGCTAATTTTGACACAACCTAAAACTTCTATTTAAAACTGATTTATTAATGCCCTAAATCAAAGACAATAACAGATAATACTAAACAAAAATGTGTAATAACTTAAACATGTTTTCTTTGGATTTCACAGGGACATTAAACAGTAATTCCCCAAGAGTTGATTTCAGTTGAAACTCTACTTATATATAAAATTAATACCGAATTCCTTAGAAGTCTATTCTGCTGATGTATTTTGTATAATTAGCATAATGTGAAAATTTGTTAAAATAGACATTTACAAAAATGATATGACGTTAGTAGTTATCTTCGGGTTGAGTGAATATGCGTAAGTCACATACGCATAAAGCCAATAGGTTTTTCCAAAATAATTTGTTAGAACACAACATCTAGAACTTAATTTAAGACATTTTCATTCGCAAATATTTGACTATTATATATAAAATAATTAAGTGCTTTACTATTTTTTAAAGTATTGAATTGCAGTTCAATATGCAGAAAGTTTACTATTATGAAGCATTTTTCTTAGATTCTACTTTCTGTAGATCTTTCTACATTTCTCTATTGTTCCCAGTATTAAATAAGTCTTGCACAAAGCATTCATTCAAACAAATTTATTATTTATAGGAATATTTACAGACATTTGTTTCTTCACATGACACAAACGATAGTGATAAGTAATAATATAGGGAAATTGTGCGTTTGGAATACCGCTGTTATGCAATTCCGATATGAAGAGTTGCAGCGATTTAATACCAAGAAAGTACTTGGTTTTTTTCCAAAAAACTTTTAAAACGAAATTGATAATGACGCTCGTTGAACTTTTCAACTATAGACAAATTGAAGAAAACAGAACGTTATTAAAATAATCTAATTAGTGCAAGTAAATTATTATAAAACCCTCATGTTTCACTAAAGAAGTTGCAAACACAGGTATCTCAAAAAAAATTAACAAGTAACCTAATAAAACAATACGTAAATTGATGACGCCTACTCCAAGATACGTAATTAAACTGCACAAGGACTAAACATCTTCAAAAACAAGTTGTTATCTTATATTCTGATATAAGGTACCGACTTGGTGATATTTAGTATTTTTGACAAATGGTATGAACTTGTTACTTTATATATTTAATAGATTGTATTATATCTACTAAATCTACTTCTCACTGTTTTTTTTCATGAATTCGATTCGCTAAAGAGTTAGAATTGTTGGAATCTTCGCTAAAGTCGTCGCTACTACTTCTGATGTCTCCCTCCATCAATCCTGCGTTCAAAGAGTTGTAGGCGATTTTAAGAATGAGGTAAGTCCAAAATATATGGAGGACCAAAAGTACGCACAGCAAACCGTTGAAAATGTAATATGCCGGAAACAAGGGAACGATTTTTGGGGCTTCTATTGACGTGCTAAATAAATGAATGCATATGAAATATTTCCTATCATAGCATAGACGGTAGAAGTGTGCATATATTTTTATTATGCAAACAAATACTTACTTTCTTATTATCCAGAAGGGAAAAAATCCTAGCCTAGTGACTATCCAAAGCACAGTAAAAATGGCGAAAATAACATCACAGATCTTTTGGTATCCAGAATATTTGGTCATTTTGGCAGCCTAAAATGAACACTTCAATTGCAGACATCCTAAACGCACCTCAGAAACTATACGGCTGTTTTCTTTTACCGCAAAAGCTCACCTCCAAAAATATATCTGCTGAATCGTGAACAACCAACACTAACGTGCCCACCCTGAACACATTTACAATCCAGGAGAAGCACATCAGCAATATCGTTGCAATGTGATGTATGAACATCTGCCAAAAGTCCTTTCTCTTTACGTCGAAGAATTGAGAGACGCACAAAGACCAGTAGAATGCCATAGAGAACATATAGTACCACCAAATATCTGTGGTCACTGATTGATGAGGAAATCCATTCCTGAATAAAGGAAGAGTTTTTTCAAGTTCGTTGTAATAAATAACAAATAATTGCCTATAACATTACTACAGCTTAGATATAAACTGAATATTCAAGAAAAATAAAGCAAAATGTACACACAGTTGGATAACAACGTATGAATCATATTAATGGAAAGCTTCAAAGATTCACACTTGCTTCCGTCAACAGTCGATATTTAATTTTATATTTTATTTTCAACAAAATCGTTTGGTAACAATTTATAAAATATAAACTTTTTCTAAAAAAGTTGGTAAGTATACAGCGTGGTTTTTAGTGCGAGAGAGTCCGTAACATAGTTTCATGTAAAAGTTGTTGACGCACAAAGTGCGCACATTTTAAAAATATTTTATATGGAACAGAGTGTCTCAGAAAAGCGAGGCAAGATCAAAATGTATTTTTTTAAATAGAACTACCCATTTTTCATTAGCAGCAGCAGCATAGAATGCAGCTTGAAACGCTGCATATGCACCCTAAATTGTTTTTTTTTCTTACTTGTGACGTTGGCAGATTATCGCCATTTTAGAAAAATTTTGCTTAAAAACATGGTATCTAAAAATTCACTATAGAAACAAAAGAAAGCAGTAAGAGATACAAAAATACGTCTTTTCAATCACCTCAGATCCGTTAAGAATTCTATTGAACCAAAATATTAATACATTGTACATTGACACTTATTTCATAATTTAGGGTGCATATGCAGCGTTTCAAGCTGCATGCCATGAGCTAATCAAACATAAGAAGTTCTTTTTAAAAAAATACACTTTGATCTTGCCTCGCTTTTCTGAGACACTCTGTATCATATAAGATATTTTTAAAATGTGCGCACTTTGTGCGTCAACAACTTTTATAGAAAACTATTTTTCGAAAGTTCAACACCAACGGAAATAATGGACTCTATCGCACTAAAAAACCACCCTGTATATTTGCCGTTTATTATAATTTCACAAATACTACAATATCTGACTATGAAATGACATTCAAACAAGGCTACCTATTTTATTCTGCAATTATCGTATCTACAAATTTGTTTGAACAGTATTCCAAAGTTTCTTGAAAGGATAAATATATGGGCATTCTAAGTATTAGATAACATGCAATTGTTCTAAAATTATCTATTACGAAATGTTATTTCCAGTTAACATGAAATAAAGCTATAAAGCATACGTTGAAAGAATTTCACACGACTTTATTATACAGGGTGTTTCGAAATTAGGTTGCATAAGTTCAATACAAATTCAATTGTCAAACTACATATTGAAGTCAATAGAAATCAACCATTAATAACTAAAGTTAAACACAATATCAATGGGTATACCAATTCCGAGTATACCAAATTAAAAAATCAGTCTTGATGAGAGTTATCAGTGTCATGGGTTTTTCAATTTGAAAAATTTTATACACTGGGCCACTGTATCTAATCTGTCCTGTCTTATCTTTTAAATTGCGGATCGCCATTTTCTTTAAGCTTGATCCCAGTTTTCTTTCTAGCATCTCTTGGAGCGACTTTTTGCGACAAATAAGCCGAATGATCACGATCGCAACGGACTGTCTGGTGATGCTGTCTTTTCCTGGACAATTCTTCACTTCCTCTGGATAGATTATTGTCCGTTACACTCGTCGGAAAATCACAGTTCTGAGATGGAACTGAAAGCACTTTCCTTTGGGAAGTATCTTCTGAATATGTAGATTTATGGTCATTATTGGCAACACTTTCAGCGAAGTTGTCTGCGATAAATCGGTTAGTTGCAGCGTAAGTAGCAACCTCACGCTTTGAAATGTTCCTTTCAAAATAATTTATATCTGATTTTGGCTCAGCTGATTCATTCTGTTTCTTAGAGACATTATTTCTTCTTTCTCCTTTAAACTCTCTGCTCAAATTAGCTCTATCCAGAACGAGGCTTCCCGAACTAGACATTGTAGAAGTATTTGAGCAATTTCCTGACCGAGACGATTTTTCCGAATCCATATTGTCGGTTCTTCGATACTGCGCCGCTTGGCCAATGCCTTCGGCACTGGAACTTGCAGTACTCGATCCTGTAGAAAAACCCGAATCGGAAATGTCTCGTGAATCACTTTCCTTCTCATGGCCCTTGAACTTATGGAAAAAACTGCGGAGTCCAGTTTTTTCAAGAATATCCGTTTTTTTAGGTTGCCTACTTGCTTCTGGGATATAACCGGGAGTGCGTTTAGCAACTCTGTTTATCGTGTCTAGGCCTTTTCTTCTTAAGAGAAAGTCATCTTCAGATCTAAAATCAAGATTTCTTTCTTCTCTAAATGGCGCCTTTATCAAGTAAGATCTTTCTGAGGAATAAACCTGATTCTTTCTGTCAAAATTATTAACCACATTACCATTAGGTTTAAAACGGGAATGTTTATCTCCTTTCTCGGTGCTAAAGCTTTTCCTTCGATGATGTCTGTCAGAAATATAAGCAGGATGCCTTCGTAGAAACGCTTCAGAAGGTTCTTTACTTCCACTTAAAACGGAAATATCCTTTTTACGATAGGAGTCTCCGAAATTTAACTTCCGGAGTTGTTCAATCACATCATCTTGTAACTGTTCTTGGGATCGTGAAACTTGCAATTGCAACTTTCGCTTATCAAGAGTATTCAAGCTCTCATTACTCATGCATAGCTTTTTATGTTTTTCCAACACCGCATGGTTTATGGAGATGTTTCTTCGTAAATGGGCTGTTTCAGACAACAGTAGTTCATCGGATTCGAACTTCTCTTCTTCATGCTTCGTCCTGTGTACAAAGGACTTGGCACGTTTTAACTTTGCAAGCATTTTCGCCTTTTTCAACTCACTAAACTGTCACTGTTTCATTTCACTTCGCTACAGGTAGCTGGATAAAACACCTTTGTGTTTGTATTTAATTTGAAGCATTCAAGTTATGGAGATAAGAACCGCTTATCAGAGTGATAATTAACTTAATGGCATCTCGGTCATATCTGAACGTACTTATTTTGGGAAAAAATATCACGGGATTATAACGTATTATTAAATAAAAAATTACATTTGTATATGAACTATTTATTTTTATTATGATAGATGATTACTAGATATGGAAGTAATTTATGCCGATAATATTTGGTGTTTGTGTAGTTTTTCGGTCTTTATACAATAAACATAAATTAAATTCGTGCAATCAGATAACGCGTAGTACCTTGGCAATTCAATGTCTCAGTCAGAGATAATATTCGAACAATAAAAATGGCGAATATAACTTTAAAGTAATTACAATATACCTACCTACTTTGTAAGAAAACCGCAAATTTTGATAAACATTATGTTTTCTCATAGAAATGCAATACCTAAATCGTATTTCGGAACTTTTTTATTAACATTTTCACGATATTCATGTTATTGTGTTGTAGTAACCATAATATAATTCGCATACTCCATACCCATAAATGAATTTATGACCATTTGAACTATAAATAAATGTGACCTGCTTTTCGGATTTCGTTCAAAAATATTAACGATTGCTTGTTTTCCAGTGGTAACATATGTTAATTGCTCCGAACAGCATGCACCAAATCACTTATTTACCAGAAGGTGCAGGATAAAATGTAGCATTGGTTATTGAACTGTTTAGAGTTCAAACTAATAAAAAAACAGCAAGAGTTTAACACAGATACTGCAACTTTGTAGTGCAAACAGTGATAAAGTAGCAAGCAATGTCCTGTTAGTAATGGGCGACTCTCGATTATTTTAATGTTTATCATCTGTTAGCTAATGACTTTTCCAGTTCAATTTTTCTCAGGCCAAAATTGGATAGTTTAGTGCGTTTTTAGCACTTTAGTTTGAAGACATTGTTTATCAATTAAACTTCAAACGACCAAGTTCAGGTGGACAAATTACTATTAATATAGCGCTATAAAAATCCGAAATTTATCTGGTTCAAATAAGACTTGGTGAAAGATTCGCTTCTTATCCTATAGAATATTATAAGTAATAGATAACTAGAACCTAGAATTTTATGTAATTCAGCATTTAAATTCAGCCGTTAACGATTATAAGTAAATTAAGTATCTAAGAAAAATATACCATATGCATTAAGGAATTACCTTTTTAGATATAGATTAATTAATAATGCTATTCGCGATTATTCAAATTAATCATACGATCCGATAGCAGAGAGCAAATTCGTTATGAATTTTGCAACGTTTAATTAGTTATATGATAAATACACGTTTGTGTATCATATGATTAGTCATTTACATGTTTTTTACTATGACCTATATTATGCTCTCAGTCTTCGTCATTACATAAATGGTAATCGTTAAGTACTTACCAACATTCATTAATATCCCACAACCAAGGTTTATCCCATAAAACTGTGATGCCATATATAAAGCTAAATGTGTAATATGTACATCTCCACGCATTTTCGCAGAACTTTGTAAGGGTTGATGGCTTGTTTTGACCTTTTCTTAATCTTAGCCATCTTTCTACTTGCCGTTCTGACATATCCAATTGTTTCGCTAAACTTTGTACCTGAAATTATTATTCTAATTGTATTCTAGAGGTTGTTTTTGGTTTAAAAAATTGGAATTAAGTAGACAACATTAATCACCACACAAAAACATATTTCTGAAATTAATATTTTGATTCTCAAATAAATAGGTACTTTGAATAATACATATATGTATAAAGAAATATTAATACCTGTTTGTGTTTCCACTTTTTCGATTTGGCATATGTACTTTCTAGCAGGGGAATGGGCGGAGCTTTCTTAGGTCTACTACTCTTAATTCCTAAACTTATACCGACTGGAGCAAACCAATATCTGAAAAAAATTATTGAAATTTTAATTCGAATAATGGGTATGCCACATGCACTAAACTGTATTTGGGGACTTAAACTAAAACCTATAGTATCCTACCAAAAGATATTTTTATAATTTTAGAAATAATAAACGGACCTTCTGTAAGAGCATCAATCAGAAACTCTTAACTTTTACAAATTTAGAAGAAAAACTATGAAAATGGTTGGTTCTTAACTTAATGACTTGGTATTGAAGCAAACTGAGTTCGATCAACTTGTTTTGAGGTTTTGTACTTCTATTAGAACTGTAATTGATCAAGTTATTGCTTCAATATGTAGCATATAGTTGATAGAAAAATACAATGCACAATTAATTCAGTTTCTGAAAGGTATATATACCTTTATACCTAAATAATAAATGTAAGCAAGTATTGCTAAATAATTTGAAAAACAAAAAAAATTATTTTCCAAATTTATAAGATATAAGATCCAAAAAATATATTTTTATTGAATAATTTGCATGAAAACATCCAATTAAGACTATGTGAGGCAACTAGAAAAAGTTGCAAAAAGCATTTAGTTTTCTTAATTGCTAATAATGCTGGTGAAATCTGGTGATATGGTTATCACCATTTTATTAATCACGGTTTGTGTCTGTTCAAGATAACATTTTGTTTTTCAGAAACAAATAAAACGATGTCTCCTGACAATTAGTCACTGCTTTTAGTAATTCGAATATTCTTAAAACATTAGTTTTACTTCAATATCTCGTGTACCTCTGTAATAAGTACTTTACAACCGTTCGACATATTGAAAGATCCAATTTATCTGGCAATTAAGGTGAAGATCAGCAAAGGGGAAAGATATACAGCAAAGCTTTTAATTTCCACATCCGGTATCTAGAAAATCATGTGTTTGCGGATATCTTTTTATAAAGAACTTTTCTGCAAATTTTCCCCAATAAAAATGGAATTACTTTGTAAGTATAACTCTCCAAATGTTGAAAATGTGAACACTTTGAATTTAAATACATAGTACCATTACTCCTAATTGATTAATATTTTTCTTTACTCAAAAATATGTAAACTCGTAATGGGCTATGTGGTTTCTTCACTTTTGAGTATGTAAGTATGAGTATTAGAGAAATTTATACAGATTTGCATGGTACATTGTCTGAAGAAACACTTAGGTCCTTGAAAGTTAACAATATGTATAAAATATAATGAAGTGTTAGTTAAGGAGAACCATAACCATGTGATAGAAAAATAACCCTGAATCATCAACATAATCAGTAACAATAAATTACTTATGGTAAGCTGCAGTTCCCTTATTCTATTGCATCTACCCGATTTACTCTTGGAAACATTATTTGAACAGAACAAAGTCTGTTCGGCTGTTAGATTATTTAAAAAAATGTCTCAATGTACAGGGTGTAACACTAAATCGGTGTTTCAACGGTCCTACATATTTTTAAATGGAACACATTCCTTTTTTTGTCGTTGTTTGACACTCTGCTCCCCTTTTTGTATATATCTCGAAAATATCTGATTTGCTTTGAGTGTCCATTAAATAAATTATTGTTTTACTGATAAATGGAATCACAGCTTTAATATCCAAATTCAGCAAATTACTTTTCATTAAAGGGTTGCCGTTTGACATACATATTTGTTAAATTGATCTCTCAAAGTTACACCCAAAAACGATATGAAATATTTGGTGTAATAGATCTACTGTTAATGGAAATAATGATATTTTTTGTATGGATTTTTTATTTCATTTTATTAGCTTTCTCAGGGACTTATCCTTTTCGAAACAGTCCATACTCCATAATCTGCAGGTGTTACCATCTAAGCCTTAGTTAACTAGTCAATCAATCATTTAGTAAATGTTAGTAAATTCATCTCCCTAATCTTTTGACTCAGGGAACGAAGCTCTAGACTCATAGAGTGTTGTTTTCTGATTTTGAATTCACTCTTTACAGTCTTATACATCAATAAAGAAGGTAAGGTTTTCACTCAAATTGATATGTGTTTTCTTTTCTAGTTGGTTAGGCTTGCGTATAGATATTTGCCTGGTTAACGTATATAGAATGAATCCGACAATTTCGAGCTATGAGATGAATAGGGGGCCAAAAATCTAACCTCACTTACTTTTCAAATAAATATCTTATTAACAGGACCACCAAAGCCATGGGCAGGGGGTAGAATAGGTGTCTGTAGTCGGCATGCTGTACTTCCTGGCTGGATTCCGGTGCAATGTCGGCCCAAGTGGTATTTGGGGGCAACCAAACGTTAGGAGACCAAATTGTGTCAACGATTTTCCGGTAACACTGATAAATAGCTGCCATTGTACCCGTTACCTGCACAGGCTTATTTCGCAAATGTGTAAATCGAACTGTTCATAATCAGGGGTATTTTCACTTGAAAAACTGGAGTTTTAATCGGAAATAAAGCGACAGCGTTCCGGAAACACCCTGGCCCATCACACCACCCAGCACATTTTTGATTGACGCTTGAGCGGTTTGGAAAACGTGCTGAGCCGTAAACGGCAACTGTGTGCGTGCTCCAAATATTTAATTAATATATTGCGGTTTATTGACTGGCAAACTTAAATGGGATAGCATACAAGTATGCACTGAGTTTTACCTCTGGTTGAGTTAGAAAATGTCTAGAAATTAGAAAACAAAATAAAGTTTCAATTCGCGACTTTTGAATGTCAGGTATGAGCTTATCAATTCGAATTTAAACGTTGCCGCTTCCTGCATTTTCGAGAGTAACATGGATAACCCCTACCGGGGCTGGTTGGTAGGTTGACGATGAATCCCATAAAGTTTATAAAATATACAGGGTGTTAGTAAATATGTGCCACGAATCTCAGGGATGATTCAACATGGAAAAATAATGACAGTTTGGTTATGATTCGTTTTTCTAGATACGGGGTGTAAAAATTTGGTTTTTTGCTCCGAAACCGGTCGAGATAGGGAGAGAGATAGAGAGAGATGAAATTTGATGAGTTTTGAGAAGTTTTAATTTTTTTTTTTAAGTTTAATTAAGTTTAATTGCGCATAGAATGATTTCAATTTGAAAAATCATGACTGACGTCATGTGGTACTAGCTCTGTTGTGTTCCCACTCTTAGCACAAGGTGGATTTTGGATTTGGGCGTATCGTGCAGTTGTGGTGCTATTTTCCTGTCTGATGAATATAATTAAAAACTGGAGATGAGCTAAAGAGTTATTTTAAAATCACTGTTATAACTGTTAATGTGATTTTTAATTAACTGTGAATTTAACCTGTTAATGTGATTTCACTTGTGGTTGCCGTTCACGTGATATAGCAGCGCCATAAGGTGATGGGCAATTGTGCGGCACACAATTGTAATTAATATTTAAAAAATAAATATCCTTATTTTGGCATAATCAAATAATATTTTATACTTACTTTGTAAGTACAAATAATTTTAAGGACACTAAAAAATAACAGCCTCTGTAACTAGCAACTGGCAACTGGCTTCACATTTTGTAATCCTAAGTACTCTAAAAGTTCTAAAAACATTCTGGAAAATATTAAAATAGGAACAAAAAACTATTGTTTTATACAGAACGAATTGCGTTTGTAGATATTACTAATTCTTTGTGAGCAAGCTATATTTAGTTTTATATTTTGATCTGAAAAAAAACTATTTGAGTGAAAATTTTCAGAATTTATTGATATTGTGGGATGTTGCATTCCATGTGCCGTTTCAAATTCGACGTACTTGTTTTGTAAGGTAATTTTGATTTGCATAAATTGCATTTTGCAAAATTATCATCTAATGGCAGAAAATAAATTCCACAAAAAAGTTATTTTCCGTCGCTTGTCACAATATATAATAAACAATTTCAATTCGAAAAATGTACACTTTTTACCGAAACACTAAAAGCGTAATCCTAGAAAATTATTTTAAAAATACGCAAACAGGTTACCGATACACAATCAGAATACGGCTAATGAATGCATACTGAAATATGTTCCCAAAAATATCATTAAAATCCAGGCTTATGGAAACCTCTGAATGCAAGATTTCATTAACGAACAAAATATTTTTTTTTGAGTTCGTTCTTTCGCCGGGCCACATATGATCACTAGACGCAACTCGTAATAGCAGTGAAAATATAAGTCGCTCTTCAATATCCCGTTTGGGTCAATCACGTTTTAGATCAAAGTTCATTTTTACTTTCGTCACAGATTGTGATTGCGGTTTAATAATCGCTGTGAAAAAATCACAGGTAGTGATTTGCTGCTCAACTCTATTAAATACAGCTTATTTAGTTTTTTGTCACATTCCATCATTTTTATAAATCTTCGATATAATTACAAAATGCTCTGCAGCGAGTTTAAACTTGAAAATGAAAAATTACAAAAATTTATTTATTTTCTAGACTAGGAGCAGTAAGAGTAAAGGAATGCAGAAAATGTTAGGTCAGCATTATTTAAGCCGGAATGCGGTTGCAAAGGTACGTTATTACCACAACTTAAATATCATATGATATTTAACCTGTGCTATTATCACGTACGTCTAATTCCGCAAATTTTTGAAAGCTCTTTCACTACGATCTACCTGTTGTTTTGTTACCGATTTTAACTTTCGTTAATTTACGGAAGGAACTGCACCAAGCTAAAATTGTAAAAGTTGAAAATGCATATTCCTCTCCAGATCATTATTTTTCGAAGGCTTAGAGCATGCTCAAATGTGTCTGTACGACAACAAACAAATTCTGGGTTTTCCCGCTTAGTAAAATATCGGTCTTATATACAAATGGTGTGCTCTCCACTTAAAAAATTCTTGTCTTAATCGTTCATCCTTTTGAGACATTTGAGTCTAAAAATCCTGATTTTTGCCAGCTCTGTAAATATCGGTCTCATAATAGATGTTTTAATCACCTACTACACTGCACCCTCTACGTGAAAAAATCGGGTCTTCCAAACTGAAGCTAGTATAAATTTGAAATTTTCACCATACTTTGACCACTTTTGAGTCTAAAGACGCTGACTTTTCATGAAAGTGGCAAAAAATTCAAATTTTTTTCAGTTTAGTAAATATGGGTCTTAAAATTGAAAGCCCAAAGGCACTGCGTTCTCTACTTAAAAAAATTATGTCTTCCAAACCAAAGCGAGTAGGCGGTTCAAATTTTCACAATCCGATGAAGAGATCTGACCCTAAATACGCGCAAAATCGTTTCATCAAATTCGCATGCATTTCTGGTTTTTGCCGCTTAGTAAATATCGGTCATATAATAGACAAAGTGAGTGAAAATTTCAAATTTTCATAATCCGTTGAAGACATTTGACCTTAAAGACGCTGAAAGTTTCATCAAAATCGGACAAATTTCTGGTTTTTCCGAGCTTAGTAAATATCGGTCTTTTAAAAGCCGTTATTGATCAACTGCGTTTAACAATGCATGTTAAACATTGTTATATGTACATCTTAAGTTTTCAAGACGAGCAACATCAACTAACTGAATATGATGCAAAACTGAACAGTTTTTTGTGCGCCGCTAGGAAACATTACGTGGCATTAATGCACAGTTTATTCGATAGCATGTTCAAATTTGACGTCATACCTTTTATAAAACCATCTAGGAAACAGCTGTTAAGATAAGCTAATTCTAAATTATCTGATAAAATAACTGTAAGATGAGGCCAGCCAATTTCAACAAAAGATGCCACTGCACAAAAAGTTCAGCTTCAAGTTTCAGAAGGGGAAACCTGAAAGAAGCAAACAAGACGTGCAACAAAAACCGCTAGATAGTAGAGCAAATCTAGAGACTAAAGGTATAAAGAAATCGAGCAGTACATTGGGTGTTCATTGTCTAGATAATAGTGTTGTGGTAGGAAATAGTGTGGTAAAAAGTAAGGCTGGAATTAAACCATTATCAAGAAACATTTCGATTTCTGCGGAACTGATTCATGAACTGAAATCAAGTAACAAATTCAAGGAACGAGCGTCAGTAGTAAATGAAGGCAGATTGTCTAGATCATATACCAACGTTCAATTACCATCTAGTAACAATAAGATCGAGGATCCTGGTATTAAACGAACTGTTTCCGAAATCGTATCAAATTTTGAAAAGTGTGTGAATATCGAAAACCAGCCACCGGGAACAAGAGCATCAGATTTGCCAAAGGGATTTGGTGACTTCAGAAATTCCAGATCATTATCATCTCTACTAACACCGAGATCTCAGAAACAAGTAGAGGTAAGTGTTTTCATCGGGTGCTTTTACATAATATATTAACATATTGTCATGCTTACTCAAATGCACAATTCTCTAATTTCGAGCAAGTGATTTTTCTTCTTAATATACACAGTAATGAAAATTTGAGCAAACATTGATAACGAGTTTTTTTGCATAGGAAAAATTTTTGTATTCTGAAAATCTGTTATTTTCAAAATACATAAACAGTTGCACAATTTGAAAATTCAAAACGCGTACCTTAACTAATTTTTTATGTAAAAATATGATTGTAGATGAGACAAAAGAATATTTATATTTTGTTATAAAATATATAATGATAATGAATTAAAAATTAATGTTATAAAAACACTGATTTTGGAAATATTCTCGGTTTATGTCCAAAAAGCTTTATACAAATTATATGTATACAGAAAGTGAGCAGTTTATTATATAACATCGACATGGAGCTTCTTTGCAGCATAGACTGACTTATCATTTCGTTGGCTTACATAACGCATATTAATAAGGCATGACCAAGATTTTATTTACTCAAATCTGCATGTTTTTTTCTTTAAAAAAAACTTTCAGTCTATTTGCATAAAATTGATAGTACAATATATGAACCAATTAAAAAAAAACTTTCTAAGCTCGAATTCTGGAGCCAATTCAAATAAGTGGCATTTTTAATTTACTGCGACTGTCAAAAAATATAATAATAATTGGGAGTATTTTCCCTAATTCCAAGTTAGATACTTAAAAGTATTAATTGTTCATGAAATTAATTTTTTTATTTATAATAAATAGTCCAGCATAATGTGTTGATATTTTTGGCAAAACGACAATTAAATACTTAAAAAAACACTGTTATTATTTCACAATCAATACATTTTCATTAAGATCGGAAATAATATTTCTATTTATTATAATAATAAAAACGCTTTTCGCATTTCTCCAAAAGCGAAATATAACTGCTGGATCAAACTAAAAAATAGTTATATTCATATATTTTTGTGATTTGGACTCAATGAGTCCAATTAAGCAAGTACGCAATTAGAAAAAATCTACACATAATGGCGAAGTCACTATGTATATGCGGACATTTTGGCGGAGGGACTTGCCTGTTAAAACAGTGTGAAATGACCCATAAAAATTAAATCGATAAGAGTAAAAGTCTTGATATTACAAGTTGACTTAAAATGTGATTATAATAAACGGGAACAGATATTAGAAAAATATAAACAAATTATGAAACTATTAATGTACAACTTTATATTTAATTTACTATTTAAATTGTGGCAAATTTAAGTCTGTACGACACAGAAATGTTGCACATCATGTGCATTTCGAATCTTAATGAATATGTTATGTGGATTGAATAATCAGGAACTTGTTTCCCACCCCTATATAGAAATGATAATGATAAAATAAGTTTTAATTGACCAACCAATGCTGGTATGGGGGAGCTGCATTAATTTAAATCGCAACATATGCAGTACAGAG